CATTCTTCTTCTTCTTCTTTTCATTCTTCTTTTCATACTTCTTCTTCTTTTCATTCTTCTTCTTCTTTTCATTCTTCTTCTTCTTCTTTTCATTCTTCTTTTCATTCTTCTTCTTCTTTTCATTCTTCTTCTTCTTCTTTTCATTCTTCTTCTTTTCATTCTTCTTCTTTTCATTCTTCTTCTTCTTCTTTTCATTCTTCTTCTTCTTCTTTTCATTCTTCTTCTTTTCATTCTTCTTCTTTTCATTCTTCTTTTCATTCTTCTTCTTCTTCTTTTCATTCTTCTCATTCTTCTTTCATTCTTCTTTTCATTCTTCTTCTCATTCTTCTTTTCATTCTTCTTCTTTTCATTCTTCTTCTTTTCATTCTTCTTTTCATTCTTCTTCTTCTTCTTTTCATTCTTCTTCTTTTCATTCTTCTTCTTCTTTTCATTCTTCTTTTCATTCTTCTTCTTCTTCTTTTCATTCTTCTTCTTTTCATTCTTCTTTTCATTCTTCTCATTCTTCTTTTCATTCTGCTTTTCATTCTTCTTCTCATTCTTCTTTTCATTCTTCTTCTTCTTCTTTTCATTCTTCTTCTTCTTCTTTTCATTCTTCTTTTCATTCTTCTCATTCTTCTTTTCATTCTTCTTTTCATTCTTCTTCTTCTTCTTTTCATTCTTCTTTTCATTCTTCTTCTTCTTCTTTTCATTCTTCTTTTCATTCTTCTTTTCATTCTTCTTCATTCTTCTTTTCATTCTTCTTTTCATTCTTCTTCTTTTCATTCTTCTTTTCATTCTTCTTCTTCTTCTTCTTCTTTGTCGTGCCCCGTGACTGCCCAAATGAGTGAAGTGTGCGGTGATTCTAAGATCGACGGCACTCATCTGCATGTCATACTGACTGACAGTATTATTTCTCTTCCCCAGCAGACTCCAAGGGCATTTAAATTAAAGGTACAGTGTTCTGCACTAATATAAAGGCTCTCTGAAGCCTAGAAACCCTTTTAATAAGTTAAATTCGCAGCGAATAAATTCGCATCGAATCGAATTTCTCCCGCAAATTCAGCAAATCAGCCGAATCGAATTTTTGAATAATTCGCTCATCTCTAGTGTTTATGAACAGCTGCACCAGATTTTGCATGGTCCAGTTTTAGTAAATCTCCCACATTGTGTGCTCCAACATTAGCCACTGTCTACATTTGTAGACTTTGTCAATATACCATTCCAGTCTGAGCCTCCAGGCATCCTCCACAATATTCCATCAAGGACCACCTCTCACTTAGTGGACATTCTGATGTTATGTCTTATTTCCTTGATCCTTTTATCAAAGATTGCCAAAAAAACTCAGCACCCTTGGCAGTGTTCAAGTCCATCCTCCAGGCATCGGCACACAAGTCTTTTTCAAAGTCTGACAAGTCATATTTTAAAGCCTAACTCCAGCCAATTGTTTTTATTTTTAGTTTTGGACAGAGTAGAGTAAGAGATATCATTTCAATCAGGATTTTATTTCAGTCTATGAACCAACTGTGTATATTTTCTCTAACCTAATGCACCTGTGACATCTGTACAAAAAGTTTAGGTGTGATTTTCACCGGTATAAGAAGGCAAAGACAGCAATCAAAACATTGTTAGAAGTTATACCCATTCCTCATTCTGTTAAAAATATGTTTGCTTTTGTATGTGCCTCCATTGTAAAAGGAAATATCTCCCCAATAAGGACACAAAAAATTCAGAGGTTCTAACTCTTCCCCACTTTATCCAAAAATAAAGAGTTTTGGTTGTAATTGTCCTTTAGGCAATTAACATACATTGTTTCTAGTCCATGTAAGACAGTCTTAACAAAATGTGGGGACAGTGGAGCAATAGAGAATTCACGAAGGTTACAATGAGCAGTCTGCAGAAGAGGAAAAGGTCCCAAAGCCTAATATCAGCTGGAAAAGATGAACTGCTTACTTGAAATCTTTCATGGATGTGATCTTAATTTGGTGTCCCTCCTGGAAAAAAAAAAATATAGAGCTTTCTGATTGCTAGTTTGTGCTTAACTTTAAAGTGACCATGTTCGGGGATGCAGGGGCCATTCTATACGCAGGCTGCTGTAAACGTAGCTATATAGATGCTTCTTTTACAGATGACCTCTTGGCTAAAAGCAACCTCACTTCATACTTATGCAAACACAGAGATCCAAATAGTGTCAGGGTATGTGAGTGATATTCACTTTTAAAGTGATATTAAAGGATAAGTTCTCTTTTGTGAACACCCATTTTTAAGGTGGAACTTGTAACATGTTCCCAATGCCGCAGCCACTACCTGTGACAGCATTACAGGGAGAAGTTTCCCGTACAACCTGTCACTTTTTGAAAACAGCACGGCTGTGTGGGGCTCCACCCACACCATCATATCATTCATTCACAGAGTTTTGTAAATGAATGAACTACAAGTTCTTGTGGAGAGCCGTGTGATACGTCGTGGTAGTTCATTGATTCTTCCTGACAGTAAATCTGCTTGCCTGTTCACCCCGTACGGAAAGCAGATATACTGACAGGTCTGCAGAAGATCTGCATGGCGACAGCGATCTGCTGATCATTGGTGCCATGCTTTCCAGGCTCCTGCAATGAAAAATAATAAAAGCACATTTTTTGACCTGCAAAAAAAATGTGCATTTATTAATTTTTGGCAAAAGGTGAACTTATCTTTTTAAGGCTCATTTTTTTAAAAATAACAAACATGTTATACTTACCTGCTCTGTGCAGTGGTTTTGCACAGAGCAGCTCGATCCTCCTCTTTTTGGGTCCCCCAGCAGCGTCCTTGGCCCCTCCCTCCAACCAATTGCCCCCATAGCAAGCAGCTCCTGAGCCGCTGCTCTGTCTGTCCCACTCTATCCTAATTGGCTCACTGGTTGTGATTGACAGTAGTGGGAGCCAATGGCTCCCGTTGCAGTCTCAGCCAATGAGTAGAGAAAGATTCTGGAGAGCTGCTGTTCTCATTCACATCGCTGGATCGAGATGGGGCTCGGGGTGGGGGGGCTGCTGCACACAGAAGGTTGTTTTCCTTCACGCATTTAATGCATTTAAACCTTGAGCCTTTACAACCACGTTAAATTGGAAGTGAAGGCAAGAGTTAAATTTGCAGCTGAAATATGTAAATGTGTAGTATCCTACCAGCATTAACAATTGTGCCTTGAAATGACTGTAAAGTGGTCCTGTGCTTTGAAACCTATAGCCAGAATAAAAAGAAAAGTGCTTTTACCACTTGAAACACAATGTCTATAGAATTTTTACCATCTGGTCTTTTCAGTTTGAGTTTAACATGACAAAAAATATAAACTGAGGCCCCCACACCACTGATAAAAGGTTCAGATACAGCTTTATCGCAATAAAAGTTGTGGGACAATCCAAAGAGTAGCCAACATATTTTGGGGGTCCAAAAACAACCCTTTCGGCAGGGCTTGAGACTAAATAGTGAATAGGCAAGAAGTGAACTGGGCCTTTGTCCAAACGGGCTGCCAGACTAGCTGTTGACAAGATCTGTGCTTGTATTCACACTGGAAAAAATACCATTAAAGGTCCAGATCATTTCTAGTTCATTCACGATGTTTAAATGCCCTGATGAAGGGGTGTCTTTGGACCCCGGAACACGTATTTCAGCATTGAATTTTCAGCTTTATGCTGAATGCTTTATTAAAAGAACACCATAATTTTGAGCGAATATACAGATAGTATTTAGTACTATTTACCTGGAAGTACTTTTTTATATGGTTTTCACACTTCTACATGATTTAAAATCCTTTATTTCATCAATGAATTTAGAGATTTATATTCAAGTGATAATCTGTATCAGGAAACACAGTCTTCATATGTAATGAGGATGTATGGCTCCCCCATGTACAGATATAAACTATACAGAAAGCTAAGTCTTTAAAAATGTTGAAGACGTTCACCCCTGTCCACTTTGGTGAATTGGGTTAGCACAGGCATATTACTCTGTATTGTATTAAAGCAGCCTATGCATTTGAATGAGCCACCAAATCAATAGATCAGACAAAATACATGCCTGTAGCTGTGTTCGGATGCAGTACACCACAAGGCATGGTAGTGTACATTGCAATGTGCTGCAATGCAGCTGTGCTGAGTTATAAAGTAAAAGACAACACAATGCACCAGCACACATAAGGTGCTTTACCCACAATACCCCAGTGCATAGGTTGAGAAGTCATTTTAATGCATGATATAAATATTTTTTATAGCTTATAAACATTTTTATTGTACAAGCTATATTTACATGCACTGCTGACCCTGGTGAATAATATCTATGACATGGTGTTACATGAAAGGTTTGTAGTGTTTTGATACTTGGTCACTATAACATCATTCCTGTGGTATGTAGAACATGCCACTAATAATCCTTTCACTTATCACACATTTAAGGAAGAATGTTTAGCTGAGTTTACACCAATAGGCAAAATCTTTATAAAAATATTTCTTTTGTAAACTGTTTTAGATATTGCCAAAAGTATTGGGATGTCTACCTTTACGTGCACATGAACGTTAGTGGCATCCTACTATTGAGTTGGCCTACTCTTTGCAGCTATAACAGCTTCAACCCTTTTGGGAAGGTCGTCCACAAGGCTTAGGAGTGTGTCTATGGGAATGTTTCACCATTCTTCCAGAAGCACATTTGTGAGGTCAGGCACTGATGTCGGACGAGAAGGCCTGGCACACAGTCTCCACTCTTAATCATCCCAAAGGTGTTCTAACAGGTTGAGGTCAGGACTGTGCAGGTCAGTCCAGTTCCTCCACCCCAAACTCGCTCATCCATGTCTTTATGGACCTTGCTTTGTGCACTGGTGCACAGTCATGTTGGAACAGGAAGGGGCCATCCCCAAACTGTTCCCACAAAGCTCAGAGCATGAAATTGTTTGCAATGTCTTGGTATGCTGATGCCTTGAGAGTTCCCTTCACTGGATCTAAGGGGCCAAGCCCAACCCCTGAAAAACAACCCCACACCATAATCCCCCCTCCACCAAACTTTACACTTGGTACAATAGAGTCAGGCAAGTGTCGTTCTCCCGGCAACTGCCAAACACAGAGATGTCCATGGGATTGCCAGACAGAGAAGCTTGATTCGTCACTCCAGAGAACACGTCTCCACTGTTCTAGAGTGCTTTACACCACTACATCCGACGCTACCAGGAAAGGCTTGCTCATAGCACAGATAAAGTTTCTTAAAAATGTGCATGCGCAGATCAGCAACTGGCCAAGCAGATGTGCACAAGAATAGGCATGGGCGTGCGTATTTGCACTCCAGCATACGGCTGCTCATTTGTTACCAAGACTGGTGACAAATGGTCTATTTGAACAGAATTACTGCACTGGCTAATTGCTGTTTGGTCTGCAGCTTCTGTGTGTGTTTATCCTGATTCCAGTGCCTGACCTCTGATCCCGATCAGCTTGCTTCTGACTCTGCTTGTGTGCTACCTGCCCTGACCTTGGCTTGTTCTCCAAATTCTGCCTCTGCTTACTGTCTCTGCCTGAACTGCCTGCACTGTTGCTGACATTGGCCTGCAACCTGACTCCTCTCCTGCCTGTTGTTTTTATGCTCGATCTGCCCGTCTGTTGCCGACCCAGTTTGCCTGACCCTTTATCAACCAGCCTGCTCCAGCTCTGTAGTCCAGTACGCACTCATCTGTTACGTCTGCCTACTGCCAGTCATCTGCTATCAGCCTGCCTGTTGTGCCATCTACTTGCTGCCAGCCTGCCCTGCTGAGACATCTGCCTACCACTGGCTGCTCTATTCCTGGCATCCTGTCAGCAAAGTGACAGCTACTACCTATGCAGAATACTGGACTGATCATGGTACTCATACCTCGCTACTCTCTCATGGTTACTGTTCCACTATCAGTGACCCCTGAACCGGAGCTGTATGAGAGGCTTTCCTCTGCACGTCAGGCTTACTATCAGGTATGTGACAGACACTTTGTATTGCACTTGGTGATGTAAGGCTTGGATGCAGCTGTTTGCCCATGGAAACCCATTCCATGATGATCTCTATGCACTGTTGTTGTGCTAATCTGAAGGCCTCATGAAGTTTGGAGGTCTTTAGCTATTGACTCTGCAGACAGTTGGCGATTTCTGCACACTGTGTGCTTCAGCATGCACTGACCCCGCTCTGTCATGTTACATGGCCTAACACTTGGTGGCTGAATTGCTGTTCCCAGTTGCTTCCACTTTGTTATAATACCACTAACGGTTGACTGTGGAATATTTAGTAGCAAGGAGATTTCACGTATGGACTTATTGCACAGGTGACAACCTATCACAGAACCACGCTTGAATTCACTGAGCTCCTGAGAGCGACCCATTCTTTGACAAATGTTTGTAGAAGCAGTCTGCATGCCTAGGTGCTTGATTTTATATGCCTGTAGCCATGGAGGTGATTGGAACACCTAAATCCAATGATTTGGACGGGTGTCCCATAAGTTTTGGCAATATAGTGTATATATTTTTATATATATTTCTCTTATTTTTGAAATAAAAGAATAGCTTGTGCCTCCACACTACATTGTACGCAGGTATCGGTCCTGCTGATGAGTTAAGGACCTTCTATGGCCTTGTCCAGCTCTCCTAGAGTAACTGCCTGTCTCCTTGAATCTCCTCCATGCTCTTGAAACTGTGCTGGGAGACACAGCAAACCTTCTGGCAATGGCACGTATTGATGTGCCATCCTGGAGGAGTTGGACTGCCTGTGCAAGCTCTGTAGGGTCCAGGTATCACCTCATGCTACCAGTAGTGACACTGACCCTAGCCAAATGCAAAACTAGTAAAAAACAGTCAGAAAAGATGGTTAGGGAAAAAAATGTCAGTGGCCTCCCCCTGTAAAACCATTCCTGTTTTGGGATTCGTCTCATTGTTGCCCATCTAGTGCACCTGTTGTTAATTTCATTAACACCAAACCAGCTGAAACTGATTAACAACCCCCTCTGTTACTTAACTGACCAGATCAGTATCCCAGGAGTTTAATTGACTTGATGCTAAACTCTGATTAAAAAGTGTTCCATCAATTTTTTCAAGCTGTGTATTTATGTCTAAAGTTGCAGTACAAACAAGTTACTGATTACCCTGGAATATACCAAATATACACTGCCTGCCTGATGGTTGCAAGGGGCAAATATGGAGTGTTTGTAAAGTTTTGTATTTACCTGTCCAAACAATAATAATATATTGCTACTACTTTGGGTGTGCTGTGGATGGGGGGGGGGGGGGTGAAGGAGGACAGTGCTGTGTAGGGTGGATATGAAAAGGAGAGAGCACACAACTCTGTGTGTGTGAGGGTGATATTAAGTGTGTTGTTCCCCTCATATTTGTTATTTAACTGTGCATTGTATCACCAATTCTTATTTCACCATGTTTGTTTCTATGTCTTGATCTGTTGCTGCCATCTGCTGGCCAGAATTTGCATGCTGCATGCCCATGTTATAGCTAGTAAGTGTTTTCTCTGCTGGGCGTGGTTTTAGGCAAGCCTTGGTTCTGGTCACTTCCTGCAGCCATTTTTATGTGTTTTATAGCTGTGTGACAGGACATTCAATACCCTGGGCTTGTGAAGGCATCAGTTTTTGACCAGCAGTTAGCCTCAGGAAAGATATCACAGGACAGCATCAATATCTCTACTACATTACAGTATTGTATCACTGTTTGTCGCTGTATTTTGGACCAAATAAACCCACGCTGATTTCATTCCCGTGTATACGTTTGGATCCATCTAACCTGAACATCTGCCGGTCCGGTCTGCTCCACTGCTTGGATACGAAGGTAGGAAGTTACACAGCCATTATCAGTTATACCTTCATTCGCCTTCATGTGGGGACAGAACATTAAGAGGGGCAGTGCTTTGGGGGGGGTGAAATGGGGCAGTGCTGTGGGTGGGGGTGATGTAAAGGAGGGGAGTGCTGTGGTGGGGGGGGGGGTAAAATGTGAAGTGGGTCAGTGCTCTGGGGGGTGATATGAAGGGAGCGGAGGACAGTACTGTGGGGAGATTTGAATGGGGCAGAGCACAGTACTGTGGGGGGAAATGTCAAGGGAAGGGGGTGGAGGACAGTACTGCATGCAGGGGTGATGATTTGAAGGGGGTTGAGGATAGCTGTGAATAGTGTGAATATGATGTGAATATAATATGAATGGGTTCAGTACACTATTGTAAAGGGATGGGGGGGGGGGGGGGGGGTAGGAGTGATGTGAAGGTGGCTTGAGAACACTACGGTGAAAAAAGTGAGTGATGTTGATTGGGGGTCTATGTTGGGGGGGATGTATGTATGGGGGAATGTGTGTGTGGGAGGGGGTGAACAGAGGACACTGTTGTAAGAGATCGTGATATAGGAGAAGCAAGCTGCAAAAAATGCAGTTCGGACCTCTGTTGAAAGAGAACGTTACTGGTCAGACCTGAATAACCTGAGTATTGAATTGTAATTCAATACCCCTGGTGTAGACCATGGAAAGACACATCCCAAGAGCATGGCAGCAAATTTACCAATGAAATACAGCCAACATGTGGCATTTTCACCATTTATATTGCATTAAAATAGAAACACATCATCAGCTGCTTGGTTGAACTGGAGTCAATTAGGAAACTACACTTTAATTTTAATTGCTAGCTCTTTGGACAAACAACTCATTTGCTGCATTTTTTGTCTCATTTTGTTTTGTTGCAGGGGTGGTATTTTGGGGGTTTCATTTATTTTGGGGCATACTGCTTTTATTGTTAGGGCCTTTATTTAGGCTTTCTTTTGCTGTCTTTCCTTTGAAAAACAACAGGCCTTTTTTTCAAGGGTGGTGCTTTGGGGTTCTTATTTCTTTTGAGAGTATTTTTATTTTATGTTCATATGGCCTTTTTTACCTTTGGGTGCTTTAAGTGGAGCATTTACTAGTTATAATCATCTGTTCTTTAAGCTGACTTTTGTTCACAGCACACCTCTTGCAAGAAATGCAAGAAGACTGTGTGCTTTAAGTGGAGCTCCACCCAGGAGGGGAAGTCCCACTTTAAGCACTCTTTCCTGACTCCCGTTAAGGAATGGCACCTTTGGTAAGCGGGTACCTGATTTTGACAGGTACCCACTCCCACTGCCTAGGTCAGTGGTGGGCAACCTTTTTTTTCAACTGAGCCAAATCTCGCCAAAACCATGACTGAAATTTATTTTGAGAGCCACATTTTTAAAACTGAAAATACATCTCCCATATATTAATTCATCCCCCATAGTAATTCATCCCCCATATAGTAATTCATCCCCCATAGTAATTCATCCCCCATAGTAATTCATCCCCCATATAGTAATTCATCCCCCATATAGTAATTCATCCCCCATAGTAATTCATCCCCCATAGTAATTCATCCCCCCCCCATATAGTAATTCACCCCCCCCCCATAGTAATTCATCCCCCATATAGTAATTCATCCCCCATAGTAATTCATCCCCCCTATAGTAATTCATCCCCATAGTAATTCATCCCCATATAGTAATTCATCCCCCATAGTAATTCATCCCCCATAGTAATTCATCCCCTATAGTAATTCATCCCCCCTATAGTAATTCATCCCCCCTATAGTAATTCATCCCCCATATAGTAATTCATCCCCCCTATAGTAATTCATCCCCCATATAGTAATTCATCCCCCATAGTAATTCATCCCCCATATAGTAATTCATCCCCCATATAGTAATTCATCCCCCCTATAGTAATTCATCCCCCCTATAGTAATTCATCCCCCATATAGTAATTAATCCCCCATATAGTAATTCATCCCCCCCATAGTAATTCATCCCCCATATAGTAATTCATCCCCCCTATAGTAATTCATCCCCCCTATAGTAATTCATCCCCCCATATAGTAATTCATCCCCCATAGTAATTCATCCCCCATATAGTAATTCATCCCCCATATAGTAATTCATCCCCCATAGTAATTCATCCCCCCTATAGTAATTCATCCCCCCTATAGTAATTCATCCCCCATAGTAATTCATCCCCCCTATAGTAATTCATCCCCCATATAGTAATTCATCCCCCATATAGTAATTTATCCCCCATAGTAATACATCCCCCATATAGTAATTCATCCCCCATATAGTAATTCATCCCCCATAGTAATTCATCCCCCATATAGTAATTCACCCCCTATAGTAATTCATCCCCCATAGTAATTCATCCCCCATATAGTAATTCATCCCCCATATAGTAATTCATCCCCCATAGTAATTCATCCCCCATATATTAATTCATCCCCCATATAGTAATTCATCCCCCATATAGTAAGTCATATAGTGTGTCAATTCACTTACCTTTGCTCCGCGCGTTCCTCTCGCCGTGTTCCCGCGCCGTTCTGGTCTTCAGGGTGGACTGTGAGAGGAGAGGAGTTTGTCACGCTGCCCCGCCTACATCCTGGCTGCCCCGCCTACATCCTGACAGCTGCAGAGTCCTGACTTTTGGGGCGGCCGCCCGAGAGGAGGGAGGGGGGCGGGCGCCCGGCACACAGAAGAGCCGCATTGAAGTTTGTAAAGAGCCGCATGTGGCTCGCGAGCCGCGGCTTGCCGACCACTGGCCTAGGTGATAGGAAACAGAACTTTTCCTCCTTGTCCTCCCCCACCCCCGCAGTCTTCTGGGACACGTGACAGATCCCAGAAGACTATGGGACTATTGACAAACTGCAGTGCTGCTCAAGCATGCACAGTAGGCACCCAGTTGTGAAGCCAGGGTGCCCACACTTAAAATGCCGGGGACAGAGAATGACTGTTGAACCCGTCTGTGGTGATCGAGGGACAGGTGACTGGCTGTTTTTTTCGAAACTCAGCAGCTCCAGTTGCCCTCAACATGGGGGGGTGCTTTGGAGCAGGGGGGCTCCCCCTCCCCAAAGCACCTTTTCCCCATGTTAATGGGGACAAGGGAATTTTCCTCACAACCCTGGCTGATGGTTGTGGGGGTCTGTGGGTGGGGGGCTTATTGGAATCTGAAAGCTACCTTTAACAAGCCCCTCCCCATGTGAACAAGATACATGGTACCGCTACCCATTTACAATTAAAAAAAAAAAAGGTGTAGTGTAAAAATCACAATACCTGCCACCACTGCCGACCCGAAAAAAAAAAAAAAAAAAAACCCACTCCACTCTCAAAGCTGGCTCCCGCTGTCTGACAGCTGTGCTGCGATGACAGTTCTTAAATACTATGATGCCGTCATAAGGGGGAACGGTTACCCCGCCCCTTGTAATGATATCATGTGGTGTGATTGGCAAAAGCATTGCACCCAACCTGTAGTCAGGTGAATTGATTTGGCCAATTACAATGCACTGTTAAGGTGCAGTGCATTGTGGGTCATGGCAGGAGAACAGCCTGCCAAATGCCCTTATCGTTCGTGTGTTCAGCAAACACACGAACAGCCAATGTTAAAGTCGAACTTGCGGTCAACTCAAAC